ACCTGCAAAACAGTCTAATATCTTAAGTTTCACCCTGTTTAATTCCAAACTTTTCTGCCTATCACTGGCACTTGAGAATCCACCTCTTTCTCTTTAGTTGGCAGGTGAGAGAATTGACCAGCAGTCACAGCAATGACTCATCATGTATCATTCCCTTTGAGCTGGACATCTGCCATACTTTAGGACACTGATGTTTAGTTAACTGAGCACTTGCATCTCAACTGCTTTCATGAGCACATGCTTGTGCTGCAGTATTTTGAGTCTCATCAGTTCAGTGGAGCAGGTTCACAACTATCTCTATATGACCATGTAGACAGCCATTTCTTCTTATTCCTGAGTTCGATTTTTGGGGCAAGAAAAATACTTTTTTGTCTTTATTTTATGTCTTCATGCTTAGAAAAATAACAGTTCTGTCAATGCATCCATATCAAGGGACACTAATCATTATTCCAGAAATGCATTGTTAGTCTTTTTTAAAATATTTTTTATTTTAACTTTTATTTTGCACTTTATTTCAATTAGCAAGAATCTATGCATCTTAAATGAACTATGTGAGAATATTCAAAAAAATAAACAGATTTGCAGTCCAAAAGTGTTTTGCATTTCATGAGAGATGGGATGCTTGAAGAAATGCATACTGTATGGGAAAATGAACAAACAAACAAAAACCCATTTCTCTCTATCCTAGACATTTTAAATCAACTTTTTGACACATTCTGACTCCGTACCCCAAAGATCCCACAGACTAGTTCTGAACCTCTGAACACTCCAAAATGAGTATTTTCCATGTGTTTCTCCTCACAAGCTGAGGAAAAGCATCGGCTGATTGCAGAGCCTCACTGTGAATAGGAGCTGCTAGATTGTGTCTTTGAAGTTGATGACTTCATGGGTAACAAAAATGAAATACTGATGTCCATTTGGTAGGCAAAAATGCTGTTTTGCCATGTAAAACCTTTGTGTGACACAGCAGAGCATCACCATTTTGGCAGCTCTGAATGGCAAGAGTTCTTTGGTCTGATACCTGCAGGATATGAAAAAGCTGAGTCCAATGCTCTGATCCCAAGGGTAAGGATGTCTTTGTTATGGAAGAAGACAGACTTTATTTTCCTACTAGTTTCCCATGGTAGCAAACTCCACTCCCAAACACACACCCTTACCGCCCTGAAATTAGACATTGACAAATTGCTGCCCGGAATTTGGTGTAGTCAAAAGACTCCAGCTGATTAGGCTCTATGATTGGTACCTAAGGATTTACCTTGATCTTTATTTTATAATACATCATTGCCAGAATCCTGACATTATGAAGTCACTATTTCACCTCCTTTGTGCCCTCTATTCCCTCTCAAACTCAAAAAGTTATTTATGCCTTTGAACACAGTAGATTTTTTTTTCTTTTTTTAAAAAAAAAAAAAACAGAAAGCAGTAAGAAAATCCATCAAATAGATTTTGAAATGCTTTAAGAACAATGATGCAGAAGCATTGCTTCTGACAGAACCAGACAAATCAATTAATTGATCTCTGGCAGTCAGGGATAATTTTATTTCCTACTCCATTAAGGAAAATCAGAATCAGTTAGCTAATTTCACTAGAGAAAATATCTGTCACCAGCTATTAAGTGCCACATGATGGAGAGAATTAGGATGGAAAATTTAAAAATGTTTTTTTCTTCCAGAAATTACATTACTTTTTACTTGACCTTTAGAACTCTGGCATCAAAGAGCATCAGAGTTCCCTTGGTTTGATAAAAGGGAAGTTCCTTCTTCCCCTATAGCTGCTTTTATGGCATTTAACTTTTGATGTCTATAAATGCTGCTATGTTTATGTTTCAACAGAAGAAAATGGTAACACTAGCAAACAACAAAAGAAAGCTACCTGCAACACCTAATTTATTCATGACTACTCCTGGTTCATGGGTTTGGGCTTGGAACCCAAGTCCCTGATAAACCTAAAAAAAAAAAAAAATCCCTATTTATTTTTGTATTAGAGCCCTTTTTCTATATGAACTCTTCATATAGTGTAAGAACTGTTTCTGCTCTTAAGGCTATTGTTCAAATACCACAAGGCATGAAATTAAGGTAGACTAAGGAGCTTCCCTTTCTTGTGGAAAGAGAAGATTGGCAGGTGGCATGTACCCACAATTCAAAACAGATTCCCATGCAATTAGAACTAGAACAGAAGCCCTAAAGCCATTATGAGGGTTTAAAATTTAAGTTACTTTGTGACTTAGAGACAGCAGACCATGTCCTTAATCAAGTTTGATTATTAACCATCACCTAAGGGCTCCAGAAGGAATGATTCTCCCAGGATTCTCCAGTTATATCTTGTAGCTGCTTTACTCATTTCTTTATTTGCACAAAGTGCTCTTTTCGGAAGGGCTCACTGCTGGCTCAGCCATGCCTGCCCTTAAGGTACTGTCTTTAGAAGGACAGTTTGCCAAGACTCTAGAAAATCCCATCCTTACTCCTTCACGGTTATACAGTATTTATGCAGGAATTTCAATCCTATGATTTAATGTCAATTTTCAGATTACTAGCTGAAATCAAGAACACAACATCTAGTGATGTTCCACATATGGGATCAAGACTCCAGTCCAATCCTGTTAATGTCACTGTCAAGAACACCAGGTGTTTCTAGGGATAAGTAATGAGGTTCTCCATTATATTTTTGATTTGTTTTTGAACAAAATATGAAGAATAATAATTACACTAATAATTATCAACACTTTTTGTTGCTGTTAAGAAGCTACATCCTATTCCATCCATCCTACTCCTATGAGTTCCCATATAAATTAGATCCATTTCAGCTGCACTGCTCTTCTGATGGACAGTCTTTCACAAATCACCTTGCTGGCTTTTGAAGGGACAGAGTGACATTGACCTAATTATAAAACACACACAGGAAAAGAGATGTTTAAATGTTTAATATTTAAATAATGTTTAAATAGAAAGTCCATTTTATTATTATTATCTCTACCACCTTTTCATCCAGGGGTGACCATGTGGCAATCCTAGATATCCCAGATATCCATAAAGATTATTGACAATGTCAGTAAGGAAAAAAACAACTGGACGTAAGTTCCGAATGAAATGGGGCAAGTTTATCTACTGCTTTTCTTCATCCTCAGATGCTTCAGTAATAGGGGGCCACTAAGAAATGAAGTCAAAGGATGCTGATCAGCAAGTGTGAGGCACAGCAAAGGATTTTGGTGAAAGTGCAAAGGTTATAGTTATGGAAGGAAAAAAAAATGTAATACTATGCACGATACAGATAGAAAGAAAAATTACAGCAAACTAATTAAGTATCACCTGTAGTACCATATGTTTGTAATATTAATCAGTAAAACAGAGTAAGAACCAGTAGGCGAAAATGGAAAGGTAATTAGAAAGTCATTAGTGTGGCAGCAGAATATATTATCTGTATTGGTGCTACATTTACCCCTCACAACAGAAAGCTGATCTGTCACAGCTAAAGTCTTTTAGAGAAATTACTATTTGGAAAAGTAGGCCCATATGATAAAAATGGATAGCTCATCACAGAGTAACATGAGAAATGGGAAGATCCCTGGCTAACCTCTGAATATCCTGCTAAGTCCAAACAAATCACTGAACAGATGGGTGTGGATTTTCAAACCCAAGGAAGATCGAATACATCATACTCGTCACCAGAAGAAAAGGAAAAAAAAAATCAAATAGGACTATCTCTAAGGTCATATGCTCTGAAATACACAGCAGACTTTTATCTCAGGTAAACCAAACATCTCAAACAGAGCATTTTTCTCAATTTAGTGGATCAATTTAGTATAGTTGAATGCTTTCAAATGTAAAGTTGGTAGATATTCACAGGAGGATATGAACAAAATAGCAGATGCCAGCAATTAAAATAAATTCCTCCCTCATTCTTTTATATGGCTTATGGGGTCACATTTACTTCTAAGATGGACAAAAATCATGTCATTTTTCTGAATCTTATGGATTTATCTTCATCTAAAGGGAATGTAAAGAAAAAAAAAAGAAATCACCAATAGTAATTCCCCACTAAAAAGTAAAAAAAAAAGATCCCTCTTCCAATTCACAAGTGCCACATTGCATCACAATCAAAATTATCCATAAGACATTCTAATAACTGAAATGTTTTACAGTCTAGTTGCTAGAAATGGTGCTAGAGACAGTTCAGCAATGAGCTATCGCTATGCATAGGTAAGGATTAACAGAAAGTACTTAGTGTGATATACACATCAGTTCTCATGGATAAAATAAAATAATATTCTACTAGACAAAAGCATTCTTTTTAGCTTCCTGTCTTTTCTGTTCTCCTCAAAAAGTTCATCAGTATAATATCTTTTCCTCACTGCAAAACACTTGTGGGATCCAACATTTGAGTAGAGTAACCATTCATACTTCGTTAGGTTTCTCCATTTAACAACAGCACGGTTGCTGCAAAAGCTACCAGGAAAGGTCAGAAAAAAAGTAAAGGAGCAAAATTTTGGGTAACCCCCAAAGCTGTATGTCTTCTTTTAACCTACAGAGATGTGATAGTATAAGGTGGTCAGCTGAGGTAGAACTTTAAAGAAATGCATTCATCTTCCCTCTTGGAGGTGTCTGAATAGCAGGATTCTGCTAAACCTCATTAAAAGTATATAGACATTATATGTACGATCCTACAGTGAGCAGTTTCACTAGCACGCAATTCACCTGTCATTTACCACAGAGGTACAACATCAGTCCAAAGGAATCTAAAGCAGCTGTTGTCCCTATTTCTGAATGTGTACTTGAAATAATTTGCCGTATTTATCATGCACTACAAAAACAAGTCAGTCAGTCAAACTTTTTAGTAAATTCAAGGACGTGATGGCAATGAAAGACCAAAGACATCCCTCCTTTCCTAGAGATTACATGAAACATATCTGCTTCTTTCAGGAAACAACCTGTTTTAGAGGTAAACACTTTCGTGTAAATGACACCTCTGCAATCAGCTGGAAACAAATGGAAACATGAACTCACCCTCTCTGGAAGAGATCCACATTATGGAATTTGTGTAGCTCCACGGAAAACTCGATTGTTCCCTGGACTTCAGACATGATTTTTTCAGGTCATCACCTAAACAACACGTACAAACAGGCATTTTAAACATTTAAAGTATTTTGCTTCAAAAATCCACATATGTGTTATCGTATTTTGTTTGGCAACTTGGGGTTCATGCTGTGACCAGATGGAATCTTTCCAATAACCTTATTGCACTCCATCTTCAGGAAAACTTGAGAAAAGACAAATCAAAGCAGTTATTAGAAGAGGTAAAATGTCTAATTAGGATACAGTGATAATATTACGGGAAGTACATGGCAAATCAAAGTAAATAAAATCTTTTGTGCAAGAATCTCAAAGCAAATTTTAGTTAACTCTCTTGTTATTGCTACACCAAAATATTTTCTTCCTTCTCATTTCACTAAAAGGCAGGTATCCAGGAGCATCACAGATCAATCCTGTAGAACAGTAGGCTGAGTGGATGAAGAACCTAGACACATGGTAGAAATTAAAATTTGCATGTTTTTGACCGCTCTTATGAATTCCCTGAAGTCCTGGAAGGGCAGTTTCTGAAGCAATGTGAATAATTTGAAGAGTAATGAATGGTAGAGATTCTGCTGAGGAAAATGTTGCACCTAATAAAGAGGCACAAGAGCTAAAACAGTATTTTGAAGTGTTATAGCCATTTACAGATAATATCTCATACAATGAATGGATCATAGGATTATTCAGGTTGGAGGTATGTCAGGAGGTCCCTTACCCAGAGAAGCCTTGCCAAAATAGATTTGAAAACTGCTCTATTTAATATAGCAGTGAAGTTCCTTGATGTTCACTAATTGCAGCAGAGCTAGGTTGAAAGCCTTTATGGCTTGTGCGCAGATTTTGGATTTTCTTTTTACCATTTCTGCCTTTTCTTCCTGTAAGTCTATTTCTGGCTAGAGAACCATCAGATTTGTTTAATTAACACAGTTCAGAAGCATCATTTTGGGAGCTGTTTGATAGTAGCCAAGTGTAATCACTGAAGAAAACTTATGTCAGGGCTAATTGTTCCCGTGCCCGGGACAAGAGTGGCTCTAATGTGACATCCAGCTCAGACTGCAAACGGGGGAATTTCTGCACTCTTGCGCTAACCACTAATTTGCACTGCACTCAAAGATTTCACCACAGCATCCAAAGAGGCAGGAAAGAAGAGAAGCTTGATAAGTGAAGGCCTCAGATAAGCACTAGGCTGTAGACCTCTGACAAGTTTTAGTGCTGACTCCCGATTAGTAATTTTTCAACTGACTGGCTTGTTATAGTGATTATTTTAAGCTTTTTTTTTTTTTTTCTTCCTGACTGCCCTCTCAGACACTGCTATTATTTCTTTCTCAAAAAATAGCTCATTTCAGTGTTGAAATTTTCTTGCTGATTTTTCATCCACTCGCAAACATTACAGGTGTTGACTCTTGAATGCCTTGAATTTGACATAGCATGTATGTAATACAAGTGTGTAATTATGACAAAGAAAAGAAAGATAACTGCTAAGCTACCCATTTCATAGACCTCCAAGGCAAGGAATTCAACATCAGCTTAGTATCCCAGCATAATTTAGGAGCAGTCAAGGTAAATCCAAATGTGACTATCCAACAAAGTACATGCAATTCATACCCTACTTTGCTTATTTATTTTAATATATATTTATTTAGATTTTGTCTTTCTGCACAGCATGAAGGAGTTTTATTCTGTTCATAGTGCATGCGTATCACATTTCCTCCAGTTGTGTGTGCAGTGGCCTAGTCTGAGCTTGCAGCTTCAAAGCAAAGCAGACTGTGAGGGGGAAGCCAAGAGAAAACCAAACAATCCCACTGAAGAGACTCTGTGAAAAAGCAGTCTGCCTTGAGGAGGGTGCTAATTGAAAGAATTTCCTCTGGATAAATGTGCATATTGTTCTGAGGCGTATTTTCCTAGACCAGGAACTCGCAGTTTTCGAAGACTCCAGTTTAAAGAGGATAGGGTGAATGGGTGGGCAGACAGTTTAGACCAGCACTTGTATTTCTGTAGACAGAAAGGAAGGTGTGAGAGTAGAGTTGGCTAAGATAAACGAAAATTTAACAATTCAATAGCAGGAAATATGCATGCAAGTCTTCATTGAATTTATTTTTTATTTTGAAAAAAGAAAAAAAATCTGTACCTTATACTCCTTCACACATCACTGTAATAAAAGCACAAAATAGTTGTGGCCCACGTTGGATTCTCACCAGATCTATGGGAAAACTGGAGACTCAGAGCACATAAATCTCCACTGGGGGCTCAGAAGGGCAGAGCCCCCTAAGCCAGTCCAGCCCGTGTGTCACAGCTGACGGTCACTAAGTGGGTCCCTCAGCACGGCCCCTAGCAAGGTTCAAAGCCAAATACCTCAGAGACACTGTCAGCTACACTTGCAGGCACTCCATATCAAGGAAACATAAATGATCCACAAAGTTTTCATTGCTGCACCAGTTTCCTGAATCTGATGGCTGTCCTTTAAAATTTACATCCTGTCACTAAAGGTCACTGACTGACATCGAGAACAGGCTTGGGCTATAAATAGAGGAGTATTTGGAAAGAATAGTACTGAAAAGAAGGATGCTTTTGCATTCAAATGCAACAGGGAATGTTGCCAATGCAAGCAACATTTACCAAAACTAAACAGGCTAAAGAAAGAAAAAAAAAAAAAGTGATTTTGGGGAAAGTTTTCGTATATAAACATATACTTCTAAAGTGTATGTTTTTAAGTCAAACTCTTTGCATGGCAGCTTATTCCAGAAGAGTGAAAACTGAAATAAACATCTAGTAAAGCTATACAGGAGATATTTTGGTGATATATCATTCTGTGACAATCTCCCTGAAAAAGTACTGCCTGTGGTCAGTCTCATCATTTCCTAAGCACTGGGTTGCCTCAAAAGATGCTACTATCATCCCTGGTTCTGCTGTTTCTTATAGGACACCCGTGTTATGAGTCTTAGGCAACCACCTGCACAGCCTGTCTTTCCAACAAGTGTCCATCTCCTAACAAAAGAAAATCAATTTAAATGTTGTTTTAATTACAGGATTTAATTAAGAGGATACTTCTGAAAATCCTTCCTATAAGTACAGCCCTGCAAAAAAAAATCTAAAGATTTAAAGATTATATATTGTCTCACTGGAATTTTTAAGAAAGGCTTGATTTTATTCATCTCCATTGCTGTCAATTGAGATACTGTATGGATTGAAGATTGCTTAACATGAGACATTAGCCCAACTGCAATGACCTTATTGTCTTTACCCTCCACTTTTCTCTGCTTTAACTCTGAGTGTTTGTATCTAATGAAATTGTAGAGACACAGTCAACTGACTGAACTGAGGCCTCTGGCAATAGGTGGTGAGTTGGTCTCGTATCAAACATTCACAACTCTCAAACACGCTGAAGCTAAAAAGAACTCTGACAATCCTGGGCTGAGATTGCAATCAGCATCCACCGACCCAAAGGGAGGAGCAGGAGGGAAGATGAGGACAGCACAGAGGGGAAATAAGGATAGGACACCGCATACTCTGGCAGTTCAGGAACTTTCTAGCATTTGTACAATTACTTCTGAGTGAAAAGTAAAGCAGACATTTCCTTAGTGCTTTTGCCATTCTAGTCCATCTCCATCAAAGAAGACAAAAAAAAAAAAGCCACCAAGGACACAGAATAAAACAACATGTGATAAAGGCCAATGACTCATAAACCTAGAAACATTAATTTAGGAGAATAAAGCTGCCTCTCAGGAAGCAGAACACATACCCTCCTTACTGCTTTTAGAATATCTTTTATTTTTCTGTGAATTTCTTCAGTGGCTGGAATTTGTTGCTAGCAGAGCATTCTTTTTTTAGAAGACCTTGATTAAGTTTGTAAAATAAAGTCACGGTGAGAAAATGTTATTCTTCTCTGCATTCCTCCTGCCTAGCTGTACTGTAAAATTCAGAGTAAGGAACAGAGAAGTGCAGTAAAAGAAGGTCTATAAACACATATCAAAAATCAAAATCTTATTCTCTGAGATTACCTAAAGCAATAGGTGAGTAAATTCACTCACGAGACCAGGCTTTTTTCCTTTTTTTTTTTTCTGTTTCTCTCTTCACCTGGCATTCAGCTGACCAGAATCACCGTTCTTGAGATGGCAATTACAACTCAAAAACCTCTTCTGACCTTATGTGCATTGCTTGAGTCAAAACAAGCACAAATGTCAGCCCTGTTAATAGCCCATTGTCATTACCTGCTCCTCAGTCTACAGAACTACCATCTTTATGCCAGAGTATCACTGCAATTGGGCATGAGAGGCACACTGATCTGCAGTGCTAACATCTTCTTTGGTCAAAATAAATCAAGCTGGCAATTCTCTTACAGATCTGCTATTTGGGGCAATGGCAAGATATCTGGCTTTACAATTTTAAAAAGGATCAACCTAAATACCGCATGAGAGATGCTAGAGATATCAAATGAGAAACCTTATTTATCAAAATTATTTAATAATTATTTCATAAGTAGTTAAAATGTTTTATATTTTATCTTTTCTCACTCCAAATCCCAGACATAACAGGGGCTAAAATTTGGATCTGCCAGAAAAGCACGATAATTATTGGGCTAGGATGGTGGGTTAGGGCAGGGATGGTGAAAGTTTGATTTTTTTTTTTTCAAAATAACTCACCTAAAACAGTTTAATTTGGTTCTCTAGCACTACTGGAGCTAATGAATTATTGAAACATAAATCTTTAACTCAAAAAAACTTCTACTCAATGTCAGTCCTAGACAACCATTAAGGCTATGATTTTACTACAGCAAAGTGATTAAAGTATGAATTTATGTTCCTTTGACTTTTTGAAACTTAGCTTTCATCCTTTATTAGTGCCAGAGCAATTATTCTGAGCCACAGAATATCAGAGAGGCATATGATTTCTTATAAGTTCTCATTTATAAAAGCTTTAAAATTAAAAAATAAATAAAAATAATTTAAAAAAGCAATCTAGTACCCAGACATCTACATTTGTAGGTATTCACAC